AAGGGGAGCCGAAGCGCAAAAAGCTGAAGGTGGAGGCGCCGCTAGCGCTGAGGTGAGCGCTGCCCGACGTGGGGAGGAGGGTGACAGCGCCTGCAGCAAGCCAGGGCCCACGTGGGGTTGTGCAGCCCTGACGCTGGGTGGTTGCCCGCCGCCTGCATGGAGCCAACACGCTTACCTGCGGCTCAGGTCCTTGCCTGAGTGGTCGCGACCTCGCCTTGCGCCCTCTCGGTTTGGCCCAGTCCTTACTGCTCTGGTGCAGCTCCGGCTCCTGCGGCCTTTGACCAATCAGAGCTGGCTGCCGGGGGGCCGAACCCGCCGCGGGCCGCACGGGCGTGCCAGCCTTGGCGGGGCTAGTGTGACCCCAGAGGACCGGTCCGGAGCAGCGTCGCTAGGCTGCCACCTTCCCCTTCCCGGGTGATACACCCGCCAGAAACCTGCTCTACCCCGGGCAAAGGTAGAATCCTTGGAGATTTTTCCGGAAGTGTCGCGGAAGGGCGCCTTGACCTTCATTTTCTTGCACACTCGGAAATCCTGCACCTTTGAAGACTCGCGGCCGCGGACCCAAACCACGCTTCTGAGGCTTTGCTGGGGCGGCCTTTGGATGGATGGGAAGGGTTGATTTTTGTCTTTTTTGTTCGCACGTTTTGCCCGCAGCGAGGACAGTTCAGCCTCTAACACCTGTCTGTCTCACATGTTGCAACTTTTACTCATAAAAGCCGTCATTTGTTCAAACTTTTATTCCTAATAAGTATTAAGTACTGCAGGCACAATCTTTGATGATTTTGAAATGTTCATTGGAAGGTGTTAATTCTCTTATCTAAAAATAGACATAAGACCAATTAAAAAATATGGGTACACAACTGATTATACAAGACAAATCTCATTTCTTCCAACACTGCTTTTTCTTAAGCTTCTAAAGAACAAGTTACGTACAGTTTAAAAGTGGCTTAGAGACTTGGTGGTGTGTGTACGTGCTGTTTTGAAAGAAGGATGATCAAATCTCTACCGGTGCCTTTAATAAATTTCTACTACGTTCAAAGGGTTAGTGTGCCTACCTTATACGAAGAACATAAAAGTTTAAAGATATAACTCACAATATTTTAGTTTTATTTTAGGCAATCAAACAGTATTTCCGGGGGTAGGGATTTAGCTCAGTGGTGCTGCCACCTACCTTGCAAGAGTAAGGTCCTGAGTTTGATTCCCCCGTACCAGAAAAAAAGGTTAATCAAACAATATGTCCTAAGGTCTTTTGAATTGGGGCCACCTGATTTCAAGGCGTGTGCTTTCCCTTTTCTGCTTTTTATTAGAATTATTTCCTTAAAAAGTACCTTTTTCACCAAACGTCCACCAAATTGGAAGACCAATGCAAGTTTCTCTTTCTACTCTACTAAACAAAAACAGCCACTTATTTTTAAATAGAAATAATACTTTTATATAATGTTGTTCCATTTCCACGTTGCTTTCCTGTTTATTTATTTTAGCTCTATGATTTAAGGAAGGCACGATATCGAAGCCCTAATGAAACGTTTAAAGACTAGAAATAAGGGCCAGGGATTTAACTCGGTGGTGCGGCACCTGTCTTGCAAGTGCAAGGTTTTGAGTTTGATCCCTGGTACCGGAAAAAAACAAAACAAAACAAAAAAAACACAAACCAAAAAAAAAAATAGGAAACTCAGCGCATTGATCAAGTTTATTTCACATTGTATATACTTATTTTTTTTGTTTTTTGTTTATTGTTTTGGTACCAGGGATCGAAATTTGGTCCCTGAACTTGTAAAGCAGGCGGAACCACTGAGCTAAATCCAGGGCCCTGTATGTACTCACTTTTATATAGCTACCCAAAATAGGATTTTTTGGCCTATACATTTTTTTTTCAGTTATGGGGGTTCGAACTCAGGACTGTGCAGTTGTAAGGCAGGCAAGGTGCCATTGAGCTAAATCCCTGGCCCCATTGCCTATACATTCTTAAAAATAATGTTTAATATTTTAATGTGTCTATGGCAGGCCCTGTTTAAGCATTTTACATATTTTAATTCAATTCCATAGCAGCCTGATGGGGAGTACATTTGAAACAAGGGTAAATATTGATTAATGGCTATGTGTCTTTTAATGTGTTAAGTTTTAAAAAAAATTTAAACATTCACTGTATATTTTGATCATATCTTGTAATTATGTCCTTTTTACCAATAGGGAAATAGGCATGTCATTAGTGTCTATTTAAAACTTGTAAAATTCCTTAGGTAACTAAATTCACATTATACAGTATTAAGCTAGCGGTACCTGTAGACATAAAGCTAAAAGATTAAATATTTTGAGTACCGGGACAAATCTCTGGTTTTGTACCTAGACCTCTAGCTGTTCTTTACTGCTTTTTTTTTTTTTTTTTTTTTTTTTTTTTCTTTTTTTTTTTTTTTTTTTTTTTTTGGTGGTATTGAGGATTGAACACAGGCCTTTGCATTGAGCTGTACACCTAGCCATTTAATTTAATTTTTTTGAGAGACAGGGTCTAAGTTGTCCAGGCTGGCTCCAACTTATTGTACTCCTGTCTCAGCTTTCCAGAGTGCTGGGATCACAGATATGAGTCACTACACACAGCTGGCTAGTCCTACTTTTATTATACTGTAGTGATTTGGCTTTCAGAGTTGCAGTGTAGTTGGGAATACATTTAGACTGTATTAAGCTATGATGACTTGTTAAGTGACAGCTACTGGTTTTGGGTTAACTGTTGGGAATGGCTTATAAATTCTTTTTAAAATAAATTTTATTTTATTCCACCCCCTTTCAAACCCTCTCCTCTCCCTGTGCACAAAAGCATTGTTTCCATTTTTTCCTTCTCTCTTTACTTTTTTTCTTGTCCCTTCCTTTCTTTCTCCCTCCTCCTTTGTTCCCCTTCCCCTTTGAACACTTTCTTCCCATTTCCCAATATCCATTATACATTTCAGTCCTTATTTCCACTTTTGATTTCTTATACCAGAGAAACAGTGTGGTATTTAAACATGTATGTCTGATTTATTTCACTTAAGAGTGTGGTCTCAAGGTCCATCCATTTAGCTGTAACTGTCTGAAACTCATCCTTCTTTTTGGCAGAGTAGCACTCCATTGTATAAAGAAACCACATCTTTTTTTTTTTTTTTTTTTTTGGTGCCGGGTATTGAACTCGGGTCCTTGCACTTGCGAGGCAGACTTCTGAACCACTGAGCTAAATCCCCGGCCCTCACATCTTCTTTATATCTACTCATCTGTTTTTGGGCATTTGGGCCATTTCCAAGATTTAGCAGTTGCAAACTGCTGCTGTAAACATGGGTGAGCATACATCACTGTGGTATGATGCTTTTAATTCTTTCTGAAAGATAGCAGGAAGAGGTATAGCTGAATCAAATGGAACCTCTAGTTTTAGTTTTCTGAGGAACCTCCACACTGATTTCCACAGTGGTTGCACCAGTCTATACTCCCACCAACAGTGGAGAAGCGTTCATTTTTCTCCACAGCCCCTCCAGCATTTGTTATTGTTTGATTTTTTGATAGCAGCCATTCTTTCTGAAATGAGATGGAATCTCAGTGCTGCATTTCATGAATGACCAGTAATACTGAACATTTTTTCATATATTTATTTGCCATTTCTAATTCTTTATCTGAGAAGTGTCTTTTTATTTTAGATGCCCATTTTTGCATTGAGTTTAAATTTGGTGGTGGGGGTCTAATTTTTTTGAGTTCTTTATATATTCTAGATAATAGTCCTTTATCTAAATAGCTGGTAAATTTTTTTTGGCACTCTGAGGCAGGTGGTGGAACCACTGAGCAAAATCCTTGGCCCTTGCACTCTAAATTGTCTCTTCACTCTGTTGGTGTTTTCTCTTGCAAAAGTTTTTTAATAAGATG